CACACTGCTGGATCGTGAACACACGTTGGGATATGCTGACCCTACAAAGCAGGGAAAGGACCTAATCTCCCCTCCCCACATCATTGAAAAAACGCTTCTGCTTAAAGTTAGAATTTTGCTTTTTCATCTATATCCCTCCCAAGAACCTAAAACTGCAGGTCCTCTCAGATGCAGTCACGAATCATGGTGTGACCAAAAACAAACAAACAAACAAACAAAAAAATAACCCCCCCCCAAAAAAACCCACCCAGGTCTTTAAAGTCAGAGTGAACCAGGTTTCAATCCCAGCCCTGCTGCCCAGCGGCCGTGGAACCGTGAGCCCATGAAAACAACTCTCCATGATTCAGTCGTACTCATCTCTAAGAGGGGGCAGCACCTGCCAAGTGAGGTTGGAATGAGACAACACAGTGGACAGTGCCTGGCTTGGGGCCTTCCTCGGGTCAGTGAGGACACTTGGTCCTCCACAATCCCGACGTCCCTGTTCCGATGTTATAAAGATAAGGAAACAGAGGCGGCATTTCAACACAGGAGCCGAGCCTCCAGTGGGCAGGTGCTTAGCCCCGCGCCCCACTGCGTCCCCGGGCTCAGCATGGGGACCCTGGGGACCTTGGATCAGGTGGCAACGAGCTCAGATGGATCGAGGCAGGAAAAGTCCCAGAGGAAATCCTATTCAGGCTGATGGAAAGGATATTCCCTTTTGTCCCCTGTCAGGGGCTCCCCAACACCCAGGCTGCAGACATTTGAGAAATGTCTCGCAGGGCCCCTGGGCAGAAGCAGCCAGGAGTTCTGGGGGACGTCTGCTAGGACCTGCCCACTGAGACTCACAGTGGACTCACAGTCCACCCACAGTGGACTTCTGCTCGGCCTGCAGAGGCTCGCTGGGAAAATGGTTAACTGTGCTGCCTGGCTTTTGCTGTATCTGGTTACTTTAATTTTTGGAGGAAAGCAAGGAGAAACGGTGAACACAACACTCCCCTTCATTTAATTACAGGAACAGTCAGGACCAATTGGGCCGCTTTTAAAATATTAGTTTGCCTTTATACTGTCTCTTCGCAGCTGGAGCTGGGAATCCAAATGGGCTGCCAAGGGCTGGAGATGGGGACAGAAGGTCAACACCGCTATTAGGAACCATGTGGAATTAAAAACCGAGGCACCCCGTGGCCTATTTTGTGTCTCACTGCGTGCCCCGGCCTCCCCACATCATTTGGTCTTTCCAACTCTTCGTTTTTCTCTTTTACAAGGGTGAGTCCAGGAGCAGAGAGCGTCAGAACGGGAAGGGCCTCGGAGACCTTCTTGTTCATCCCCTCCGTTTTTCCAAGGGAGGACATGAAGCCCAGAGAAGCAGAGTGGCTGCCTTGAGGCCGCCCAGCATATGGGAGGAAGGCAGGCCCAGAGCACAGACAGGCTGCATCATGCAGGGGTCACGAGCTTGGGCTCTGGGGACACCCACCCCCCAGGTTTGAGTCCTAGCCCTGCCCTGTGTTGGCTTAAGTGGGTTACTTAACGTCTCCGATTCTGTTTCCTCATCTGTAAAACGAGGCTAGTAAGTTGCAAACAGTTGCCATCTGAAGCCAGAAAAATCAAACCAACACAAAGGAAACGAGAACTAACAGAAGGGAAGGAGGTAGTCAGAAAGTACAAATGTCCAGTTGTAAAATAAATCCGTCCCGGAGACGTGAGAACGTGACGTGACGTGCAGTCAGTAATACTGTATCGTGTATCGGAAAGCGGCTAAGAGAGTAGATCTGAGACATTCTCATCACAGGGAAAAAATGTAACTCTGTGCACTGGCGGATGGTAACGAGACTTATGGTGATTATTTTGCAATATATGCAAATAACGAACGGTTATGTCTTCCACCTGGAGCTAATCTAATGTTATGTCAATTACATCCCAATTAAAAAAGACAAAGAAAAAGATTCTTGTTATTGAACTCCTTGGCTATTTGATGTGTTTATTTTTCTTTAACCCGCTCCAGGAATAATAGTAAATAATTCAACAGCCAAAAAAAAAAAAAAAACACAAAAAACAAAAAACAAAAAAACAAACCCCAAAACCCACACACAAAAGGAAAAGACAAGAACTAACGGAGTCTGGGCTTGATGATATCATCTGAACTGCCTGATTCAGCCCTATCCGAAGTGGGACACCAATGTTCTCCTTCCACTAACTTCCTTTACTCGCTTAGCCTAGTTTCAGCTGGGTTTCTGTCATCTGCCACCAAGCGTCCTTTGTAACACACCACCCGTGCCGGGCCTGGAGCTAAGCCATGGCCGCTCTGTGCCCTGCAGAGGGGATGACAGAGGATGCGCCGTGGCTAGGCTGGCTCATGCAGCAGGTGAGGCCCCAGCTGACAGAGGGCGACGGGGGGGGGGGGGGCAGATGATGGCTCATTTTACTACGAAATGAATATTCAATTGCTGCCCTTCATTCATCTTAGTGAGAGAAAACCAGCCAAAGGCTCATTCATGGGTGGTGGAACTTGTGAGCTTTTCTGTTCAGAAAGCCTTGGGTTTTAGGGTTTTGGGAGGAGGTGTGAGCCACATCTTAGCCTGAATCTTGATCTTATCCTGTGCCCTTTGGGTACTACCTGTTGACTACCAGTGCGTATCAGCTAGACAGGATGTACCCACACATCCAGAGGCTCAACTCTGGCCCAAACACCAACTATCTATTTCTTCCACCAGCAATATTTTTGCCCTCTGCTTATCACGGCCATGGCATCACCATCCTCCTCCTCACCATCATCACATAGGGCCTTTACTATACGCTGGATGCTTTATATGCAGCATCCATTGAATCCTCTCAACCCTGTGGGTGCAGGTCTATTCATATCTCCATCATACAGGGAAGCGAACAGGCTCAGAGAGGTTAAGTCACCCATCTAATTCAACACAGCTAGGATGTGACAGAGCAGGACCCCAATCCAGGGGGTACAACCTCAAAGCCCGTGATTTTAACCTCTGTGCTATCCCCGGTCCCAAGCCCAGGGCCTAGAAATAGTGGAGAGAGAATAAATACTGACTAGGCTGGCATACTACTAGGGCGGACGTAATTCAGACCCAGGTCTATCAAGGTTTGATGGGCTCCTTTCTCAGGATGCGACTTTGCACCAAACGTGTTATTACAAGGTTACCTGGAGGGGAGGGGAAGAAGGGTCTTCATTCTCTACCTAAGGGCCTAGACACCACCATCTGGGCCAGTTTTGATAGCGAACACCTGCATGGAATCTTGTTCAGCTCAGCCTTGCTCCACCTGGGCTTTGGGGCCAGAGAACTGGGTTCAAATTCCAGCACTTACCAGTTGTGTAACCTTGGCAAAATCATTTGGACTCCCAAAGACCCCCTTGCTTCTCCTGACAGATGGGGATAGTAATTCTTATTTTGCACTGAATGGCTCTAAGAAGATCCTGCAGGAAAAGGGGTCAGCGGAGCGGGGCACTTACTAGGAACACAACGCCCAGGGGCTATAATTCTTCCATGTCTACCCCAGGCCTCTCTACCCTTTGCGGCTGGAACATGCTCATCTGGGCTGATTTACAAAGCAACCTCAAGTCAGGGCTGGGGGGTGGCGGAGCTCCTTCTAAACATTAAAAAAAAAAAAAAAATGCAGGCTGCCAGTAGGATAGGAACAATCTTTCAAGAGCTGGATGAAATCAGAGTTAGAATTTTAGAAATGACACAACGAAGGGTTCTGGGTTTACATATGGAGAGCTTGGGAGATGGAGCTCACTGCTTGCATTCTGCCCCTCCCGTGCCATGGGTAACTGGGTGAGCGGAGCTCCAGAGCCAGCCAAAACGACGCCTCCGTCAGCCCTGGCAGAGAACACCTGAAGCACAGATTGCAAACCGAAAGGCCACTGGGGGAGCTAAGCAGGGAAGGGGGACAGGTGAGGCCCGCAGTGACCTGGAGGACGCAGGCTTCATGTAGGACCCGGGGGAGAGCCTCCAATGAAAAAACTCAGGCCCAGAGTGAGTGGACGCCAGGCGGGGTCTTTTAAGAGGAGCTGAAATCTGAATGTGCCTGGGAAACATTGCTATTTTTACACGCGGCTATTCATTTTCAAATGAAGCACTTGAATTAAAGCAAAACAAAACCAAACCAACGCGAGGCCCACACAAAACACGGGAAAGCGCTCAGATTATCCCATGTGCGGGCAGGTTATGGTCTGAGTTCAGCGCTAGGAAAAAACCTCCGGCACGTCAGAGTGATCCGGGGCTGGGTTTTTGTTAGGGGTGAGGCCGGTCCTGTGATCTCCCCTACAGGGGGCGCTCGAGACTGAATCCCTTCTAGCTGATCTCTGGCCAGAGATGTAGATGTGGCTCAAAGCTGTTTGGCCTCACTCATTCTAGGTGAGTGAGGTGCAATGGATTCAGATCGTGCTTCTGGTGCCTCGAGCCCCTGCCCCGTGTCTTGGGTGAAAGAGTGAGGCACTGGCGTGGGCACGGGGTAGAAGTCAGGATATTTGAGCTCAACTCCATGCCGGCGAGAGACTCTTTCTCCCTCTGAAGTAAATTCCGTGAGAACGAGGATTTTTGTCTTGTTCACCTCTAGAAGGGTGCCTGGCACGTGTTTGGCAGGGGGCAAATATTTGCTGAGTGACGGGCTGACCAGTGATGGCCCCACGTCACTCACCCGATGAACTGAGGCCATTGCTTCAACTAGGGGCCTCGGTCTTCCCACCAATGAAGTGGGGATTAGCCACAGCTGCCCTACTTACCTCAAAGGGTTGCCGTAATGAGATAAACAAACTCAGGAAAAGCGCGCGGAAAAAAAGGTGTAAAGGGCTAACACGCGAGGAGACGCATTTACTATTATTCGGGTCCTTGGCTAACATGAGAGACCAATTCAGATCTTAGGTGAAAGAGGCCATGTGAGCCATGCCTTTCTCCATCTACCTTCTCTGGCTGCAGCAAACCAGTCTGGAAGGGAGCCCCAAATGAGCCCTTGGATTTTCATTTCCATCTTGCACAAGGGTGGGGGGTGATAGGATGTACTACCTTGCATTGTCCCGGCCGTGTGACTTCAGGAAATTCATATCTCGGTATCGGGAGAGAAATGCCACCAGCTGGTCATTTGTCCTGTGGAAACAAACCAAGAGGAAGGTCAGAGTCCTCCAGAGACCGTGGACTTACCATACTATGTTAAAAAGGACTATTAGTGTGTGTGTATCCTACATGTTCCATAGTCTGTGAACTCTTTGAGGGTAAGCATGGTGCCCCAGCTGTTTTAGGATCTCCAGTGCCCAGCACTGGGCTTGGCAAACATGAAGTCATCGGTGTGCAGTGCGATGCCAGATACTTAGCAACCTCAGGGCCTTTGCACCTGCTGTGCCTGGGAAATTCTGCCTTGTCTCTTTCCAGGTCTGGCTTGTTGTTATGTCACCCGGGTCTCCTTCCAAATGTCACCTCTTCAGAGAGGCCCTTTCTGGCCACCCAACCTAAAGTAGCATCTGCCTCCCCCACCTTCACCTTCATCACATCGCTCTGTGTCCATTACTGAGTGTTAAATTTGCTGATATTATGATGTAAGCTCCATGAAGGCAGAGCCTAGTGGGACTTGCTCCTCCCTGGCACCCAGTAGGAGCTACATTAGCTTGTTGTTGGATGAAGGAATACCAAGTCCTCAAAACCCACTGGGCTACTGACTGCGTGAGCTTCGAAAAATATGAAGCGTGAGCCAAACAGATGACGTCGTTCCCAGCATTGTTATCCCAAATTTATCGCCATCAGTCTCGGAACCCGCAGTGTAGTCACAGCTAATCGGCTTGTGCACACAGCTGTGACCGTATTTTAAAAGGCAGTCACACGGGTCTCCATCTGCCCGAAATGCAGTCGTCTCTTCTGCTGAATAGACCCCAACAGGTAAACGGTGCTGGATTTTTTACTTCAGAAGGAAAGGGTTAACCACTGTTTCAAAGCGGGGGACAGGGCGGAAGCAGTAGAAAGGAAGGCCGTCCTTGGGCAGAGAATGGAGGCCACCGGACCTTTGGGAGGCAGGTGGGTGCCTCAGAAAGCAATACCTGGGCTCTTGAAGCAGAAGGGTCTGGAGACAGATCCCAGCTCCACTCCTGACCCAGCTGTGTGTCCAAGGGTGAGTAACTGAACCTCGGGGCGTCGGGGGGGAGGGCTTCTCTGAACTCCCCTGGCTGCCCAGCGAATAGCAGGCTCTCTGTGCCTACAGAGCGAACGGATAACTGGGTGCACTAAAAGAGCATATAGTAGGTGTGCAATAAATGCAAGGTGCTCTCTCCTTCCACCTCCCCACCGTCTGGTCTGAGCGGCCCCCACCCGGTACCCCTCCTTCACGTCCCTGCAACTCCCTACAGCCACCGCCAGCCCCTGTTCCGTGATTGGATGACTCACGGTGACCAACTCATAATTCCGGTGGAGGGGGCACCAAGCGGTTAAGAGGCGCTGCAGTGAAAACATCCTACCCCTGAACTAAACCCCGACTCATAGCCAGCCCATTCTAGCGGCGGCCGAGAAGCCCCTTGTCTGCACGGAGGTCCATCTGCTACGCACGCAGCAAGCCAAGCCCCGCGGGGGCGCACAAGGGTGAATCCCAGGGATGCAGACAAAAGGCGAACCCCACGTGTCTGCAAAATGGTGCGTCTCCTGTGTGGACAACCGTGCCCGCATGCCGCAAGAGAAAGCCCGTGTGCCTCCTACCAAGTTATGGGGCAGCTGTGGGCACAGGCCCTCTCGAAGTTGCCGGGAGAAATGAGACCATACCAAAAAAAAGGAAAGCGCCGTCTCTTTCCAAACCGTAAGGAGGCCCGTTCCCTCTCCACGTCTTAGCAGTTCCTATTTACCAACCCCCTCGCCACTCTGCGACAGTTCATTATTGTCGTCCTGATGAATACGGAGACAAGTTAACCTCTGAATGGGTCCCTGGCAGCGGGAATAATAAATAGGGCCTCTCAGCGGCCTCAGGGGGAGGATTGGAGGGGCTGGGCCGGGGCTCCGGGGGCTCCCAGGGTCAGCGGCCGCAGCTCCATTTGGCAACCCCAGAAAGCGCCTTTCAGGGCCCTGAGCTGGGGCCATTTTCACATTTACTGCTTCACCGAGTCCCCATCTGACGGGGATGAATAGGCATTTAGCGAATTTACTTAGCGATGCTTCCACATGAAATCGTCTCAAAAGATGACATCTTGGGGGGGGGGGGACAGTGCCCAGGGAGGGGGGCTGTGGATCCCAGGCCTGGAGCTGGGGGTAAGGCTGCCTTTCAAAGCAAAGCGCTGTGTGCCTGGCTTGGCCGGACTGGCAGGGCGAGGGGACCCCTGCGTCCCCCTCCATGGGAGCCCCCAGCCCCCTCCCTCTCCCTCTCCTTCAGAGTAGAAAGCCTGATCGGCATGCCAGAGCCCATCTCCCCAGCCCTTCTTCAAGGGGACATGCAATTTGGCTGGGGCCCACATTTTCCTGTTGTTGCTTTCGGTGGCCTGTCTATAATTGCCTACATAATCTTTAGTTCCCCTTGGATAATGAAGAGTTTGCGATCTGCTGACATTTTACGCAGTCCCAGCCCCTCTCTCTCCCTCTCCCCACCACATCCACTTCTCACCCCTCCCTTCTGGTGGAGTCATTTGCCAAGGGGCTCCCGCAGCTCGTCACCTGTGCCTGCCTCTACAGTTTCCTTCCACCTTTCCTGGAAATCATTAGAAGCCATGTTTCTTTGTCCATGCCCATTCCTCGGATTCAGGATAGTGACTCTGGGCCCATCACTGGCAGCCTTCAGAGCCACTGGGATGTCTTTGCGGAAATATGCAAATAAGTAAAAGTTAAAATAAATGATTTATTTTAATAAGGAAGGGATTTATCTCAATAAATAAATTTGCTGTCATATAAATACCCTTATTGGAACCGTGTGAAAATCTCTGTTGGAATCAATCAACAAAAGAACCGATAAAAAGAGCTCTCAAACCATGACCATTTATGAAATGCCCACCGTGCCTGAGACCCTGGGGCAGACTTTTGCTACATTTTATTGCATTTGAATATTCACAAAGACTCTCTGAGATGTGAGTTTCATTCCCATTTTGCAGATGGGCAACTGAGGCTCAGAGAAGCCACTGCTTAGTGATCAGAACCTGGTTCCAAATGTCAAAGCCCATCATGCCCCTCGCTACAAGGCCGCTTCCACAACTGAAGGAGGGAACGAATGAATGAGGGAGGGAACGAATGAATGAAGGAGCTCCATCCCCGGTGGAAGTGCTCCGATGCCTCCCCACTCAAAGCCTGATCTTTGGATGAACAGCACCAGCCTGCCGCTATTAGAAATGCAGCATCTCGGGCTCCGCCCAAGACCTACTGAGTCAAAACTGGCTCTCTGACGAGATTCCCAGGGGATGCGCGTGCCCCTTAAAGTTTAAGAGGTGCTGCTTTTAGTGAGGCATGGATATGGTAGTTAATTCTCTTCCTCTTTCCTTCTTCATCTTCTCCCCAAGGCCCGTTCCTGAAAGCCCGGACTTGCAGCCAGTTACTTTCATCTCGGTAAGCCTCAGGTGTTGGGATTATTCAATAAAGTAATGCACGTAAGACCTGGGCAGGTATCACTGGGCATACAGTAAGCCCTTGATAAATGTTAGCTGTTATTTCATGGTATTATTACCATCCTGAATATCAGAAGCTGAAGACATTTCAAGCTGGAGACAGGAGGATAACGACCCAACCAGATTTGAACTTGGAAAGCTTTCTGTGCGTAAGACCCAGGGGATGTCCCTGCAGAGTGCGGCTGGGGAAATGCCCCGTAGAAGGGACTTGTCCCCATTCTTCCAGCTGGTGTCAGCGTTAGGATGGCTCCCAGAGGGCCACCTCAACATTCTGTGTGTCTAAGATGCTTCATGGCTCTGGGCATGAGGATGCATAGGACGAGGGGGCATGGTTCAGCTCAGGTCCTTCCAGGGGGCAGGGTGTGGAGGGGACGGGGCCGGCCCAGCCTCCACTTGGAGAAAGCACGCACAGAACCAACTGAACTGCTCTACATCCTTCCTGCCCCCCATGCTGTGGGCCAGAACCCCCTGTCTGATATAGGGTGCTGGGAAGAATCTGGCAGAGGCTCGACAGTACTGCTAAGGCAAAAGCGAAGCCTAAGAGTTTTCGTGAACGTGAGGATTCAGGACTTCCGACCCCCGATGCCGCCGGGTACGTGCAAACCCCAGAGGGCCCCAGATCGAGCTCTCGTGGATGCAGTGGGTGGGCCACGTGAGCAGACACGTGTACGAGTGGCAGGGGACGGAGGACTGTGGCACTGGGCAAGCCAGGGGTGGTGTGTGTGGAGGCACCTGCCATCTGAGCACAGGATTACTGAATTTCCCCAGCTTCTTCCCCCTAGCATCTCATCCACACAGTTGTCTTATAGATATGCTCCATTTAAACGGTTCTTTAGCTCTACCCTGTGCAACGATATTTGTAGTATCTGATGTACTTTTTCCCCAGTCTTAAATTGCGGTAAAATACACAGAACATAAAATTTGCCATCTTAACCATTTTAAATGTATACAGTTCAGGCGTATGAAGTACATTCGTACAGTTCTGCAAAGCATCACCAGCATCTATCTCCGGAACGCTTTTCATCTCGCGAAACTCCATCTCTGAAACCTGGAAACAAGAGCTCCCCATGTCCTCACTGCTCCCAGCCCCTGGGAACCAGCATTCTACATCCCGTCTCTGTGAACAAGTTCATAGAGGAGTCAAACTCCAAGAACCCCATGTAAGTGGGACCCATCCGGTATTTGTCTTTTTGTGATGTTCTCAGGGTACAATCCATGTCATAGCAAGTGTCAGAAATTTCCTTCTGAGGCTGAGTCGTTCTGATATACCATTTATGTTTTTTTCCGGTTTCACATGAGAACCAATAATGACTACATGTCTGTGTACCTCCTAAAGCACCTGGGCCACCAGGGGCATATGGAGGGTGGTCAACTGTCCTGGTTGGGTGTCCAGGACACAGATGTTTTAGTTTTATAATCAGCTGGTCCTGGGAAAACCAACCTGAGCTGGTGGCATCTGGGTCTGTGGGATGTCATACTCTATCCTTTTTTTAAAAATTTTTTTAAAAGATTTAAAAAAAATTATTTGAC